AAACCTTTCAGTGGGTAATTGCAGAAAACATCTCTCTCCCTCTTTCTGGCAACAGGTGCCTAAACCCAAATCATCATTTCTCTCAGCTTTCTGAGTAGTTAGTTTACAGGTAAGAACCACTGGTGCCTCTCATCCTTACTCCATTCTTAAGTGGACTGCAGCACATGCATTCCATACTTTGTGAAGCTAGAAAACACACATTCCACACTGAATGAACATGGGGCATTCGTTTCATTCCCACAAGAGGTAGAGTACTATGCCTCCCAGACAAAGGAGACTGTCATTACAGAGTTGGAGTGGACACATCCATTCTGTGCTCTCATGGTGGAACTCCACAACATCCAAGCAGATCAAAGCCGCAGTAGACCTTGTCCATGACAAGGAGCATTCTATCAGCCAAATGTCATGCTGACCAATGCTGAATGGGACACATAGCTTGCCAACTGGAACTGCATTCAACACAGGCCATGGGTGAGATCCTGAACGCAGGAATCTAGTGGACAAAGACAACTGCATTTCACACATTTCTTCCAAGAACAGTTGGAGCAAATGCACTACAAGCTTAGGTGAGATACAAGAGACGGATTCCATGCTGAACAGTGCTCAACTACACCCTTTCTGAGAAAGATAGCTGAGTTGATTACAACTAAGCTGAGAAAGAATTCTAAGGCAGAAAATAATGTCTTCCTTCAGTTGGGGAGGTGGGGACGGATGTGAATGGGAGGGAAAATCAGAGGAGGAGGTAACAATGCTTAATAGCAAATGTACTCATTACCCTACTCATGTAACTGTAGCCCTTCGTACAGTAACTTTACAATAAAAATAACTAAAAATGACTGAATAAAACATAAAAAATGCCTCCCTCCCTGGGAAGAGCACTTAGATGCATTTCATATGAGGAATCCTCAGAGACAGTCTTCTATGTTGAAGACTAGAGTCGGCCCATGCTATGCTTATGGGTATGCTGCAGAGGGACTGTTATTGAAAGGCAAGCTGAAAAAGGCATAAACCTGCGAAGGAGTTCAAGAGGATACATCCCATGGAGAAGAGACTCTGACAAAAATCACTTCAATGCTCTAGAGAGAGCAAGGAAAACTGTCAAGAGGACACGGGAAAGAATATCATTTCATGCTAAAGAGACAACAAAGTGACACTCACCTTCCTGAGGAGAGCTGAAAGACATTGATTCTATGACTAGGAGACCAGTTGTATATGTATCCCATGCTGAGCAGAAGGTGACAGGTTGATTCCTGAGAAAATCACCTGGGAACTAGACATTCACCTTGCTGAGTAGATGGTTTCAACAAAGGGGAGAATTGGAATACATGCACTCCGTTCCCGAGAGAATAGAAGTAGATGCACATGAGCTATAGAAAATTACACTATATGCATGATTTATAAGGAGGAGATTGATTCCTGTTAATAAAGGCCTGGACTTAACAGATCCCATCCCAGATCTGGAAGAAGTAGATTCACTCTACAACTTAAAGACATGCATTTCAGGCACACAAAAAAAAAACTGGTCAAAAAAACAGCCAACGAAAATCCATTCCTTGCTCAGGAGAGACAGAAAAGTCACTTTCCACATGAGCAAAACTGGAAGAGACTTAGTCCTTGGTGAGACTATTGGCATCACACCTTTCATGTTCCACAGGATGGAGGAAGCACTGGCCATTCTCAGGAGAACTACAGGAGACACAATGTATCTTGCCCCAACTTCAGGAGACATCCTCCATGATTGCAAATGCTGTAACTGAGACACTTCATAGTCAGGGAAGCTGTGAGACACATTGCAAGGGAAGATGCCCTGAGTACCTACAAGCCAGTCACAATTGATGAAAACAAAAAATCCATAGCCAACATGCTAGAGATGTACTATTATAGGATAACCATACCCAATGCACAGGGCAACTGGGACACTTGGATTCAATGCCTACTACTAGAACAGAAATCAAAGCTGTCCTCATTCAGGACAAAGAGAGGAAACATACATGCTGTTGGATTCTTCAAAGAAAATCTAACTTGATGAAAGAGAAAGATTGCATGTAGAGAAGAACTGTAGGCAATGCATCTCATGCAACAGGGAAAAGTTAGAGACCCATCTCTGCTGAGAAGCATTACACAAATTTCCTGCTGAGGAAGCTACATCATACACCTTCATTTAGAGGAGAGCTCAATTACAGGCATTGCACGCTGAGAAGAGATGATCAACTCTCACACCATCTGTGTTTTCATTTGGATTTGGTTTTCTTCTTTTTGTGCAGGTTCTGGCTTTGGTACAGATTGCCTGAACACTGTACCGGAGCTTTTTTTGGGGGGATGGAGGCGTCCAGTCACGGGCCTGAACTCTGGGACTGGGCACTGTCCCTCAGCTCTTCAGCTCAAGGTTAGCGTTCTCCAATTCCAGATTTTTTTCTGCTTATGTGGTGCTGAGGAATCAAACCCAGGGCCTCATGCATGCAAGACAAGTGCTCTACCACTGAGCCACCTTCCCAGCCCCCCAGAGCTTTTTTTACTCAAGGCTAGTGCCCTAATACTTGGGGCCAGATCCACTTCCATCTTCTACAGGATAATTGCAGATAAGCATCACAAACTTTTCTGTGTTGGCTGGCTTGAAACCAAGGTCTTCTGGTCTCTACCTGAACAGATGGATTCCTACCTGAGGATATAACGAAAAAATTGGATTCATCCTGGGAAGGGACTAATGAGTTCATGATAAAGAGACACCAAGTTAACACTTACCTCATTAAGGAAAGCTCATTATTCTGAGAGTATATTCCATGCTAATTAAACATGTTCCTCATTGAGTAGATACATAAATTCCATACTTGTGTGCATAGGGACATCAGGACTTGAGGAGACTCACGCTACACTGTCCAGCTATTTGCACATGGATTCCTGACAGAGTAGATCTGGAGAAGACATATATCCTGTGAAGGAGCTCAAATGGATGGATCCCATGTTGAAGAGACAATGAAGAAACCAAAACTATGATTGAGAAGAGAAGTAAAAACATCAAGTGAAGAGGAGAGAAATCAAATATGATATCATGCTAAAGAGACAGCCAAATGACACTTACCTTCCTGGGTAGACCTTGATTAGAAGGCTTCAATACTAAGGAGAATTAGAGGAGATGCACTTCATTCCCTCAGGATATCATGCTAAGGGGAATAAACTCTAGATGTACTCCTTGCACTGAGTGAGCAGAAAGCGATGGATTCAGGGCAGAGCAGGCAGAGACTTGACATTTATCTTCCTCAGATATGGAAGAAATAATTTCACCCCGAGGAGAGCTAGAAGACTTCAGATAGTAGAGCTAGATACTTCAGGATGAATAGAAGTCCAGCAAACACTTTCCAGGCTGAGGACAGACAAAGAAAATCTATCCTTGCTCAGGGGACAGAGAACAAGCACTTTCCCTTGAGCAAGGCTGGCAGGAGCTCCATTCCATGGTGGGAGGCTCAGCAGCATACACCCTCCATGTGGCAGAGGTGGAGGGGCCAGTTTACATTCTGAGAGCTGCAGGAGTCACATTACGTTTTTCCCCAAACTGGAGGCAACATCTTCCACGTTCACAAAGCCTGGAATAAGATATTCCATTCCCAGGGAAGTTAATGTCTGTATTTTCATTGGCTCACATTAACTGTTGTCAACCAAGACATTGAAGGATACTTCATGCAACCTAGATTTCTTGGGCAATTGCGTATCTCTGAGGTTTGATCTGCCTTATCTGAGCTTGTTACTGAGTCAGTTATCTAGAACACAATTTTGCCTAGGCTGGCTTATGATTCAGTGATGCAGGTGAGAGTATCTTGCAGTACTTGATGAGCTCTTTTGCTCATATTTAAATCATTTATCCTAATGGATTCTATCCTGGTTTAAGCGTTCTAGTTTCAAGACGGGAAGTTTTTCTGGACAAATGTTCATTGCACTACATTATATGCAAGTTGTTGTGATGCTAGAAATTTCAAACTCAGTAGAAAACGAACTTTACTACTTTGGCGGGGTGGGGAGGAGTGTAGTTGTGGAGATGGGAGGGCAGGAATGGTAGGGGAATAACAAAGGAGAAGGCAATAATGCTTGATAAGAAATGTACTCACTACCTTGCTCATGTAACTGTAACCTTTCTGTATGGTATTTTCACAATAAAAAACCTTAAAAAAAGAGAAAAATAAAGCTGTGTTTTCGTTCTTTTATCATATTAAAATTATTTCATATTTGTCCCTACCCCCGTGCCGTATATTACCCCTTTGTTACGGGTCTCGTCCATTATTCTATTACTTGCCAAACTGTGTCCCTTCCCAAGAAGTATTCATAAGTGTTTCACAATAGTCTCTCATGTTTTAAACACTATTGACATCACTTGCTTTTAAAACAAAGCAATATGCCTTTTTTTGCCTGAACTGCTTGCAGCAATTTTTTAACATAAGTTTTTTATTGTGAAAATACTATACAGAGGGGTTACAGTTCAATGAGCAAGGTAATGAATACATTTCTTATCCAACATTGTTGTCTTCTACTTTGTTTTTCCCCTGCCATCCCTTCCCTCCCATCTCCTCAGCTACACCTCTCCTCTCACCCCCCATCCCTGCCTAAATTGTAAAGTTTGTTTTCCACATAGCGTCTCGTACATCTCATTGTTGCAATGGGTCAAGCTGTATTCCTATATAAACCATTTGTTTTTTCCCTTCCCCTCCCCAAATTATACCAACACCATATGCAGTGAAAACAGGGGTTATACCATGGGGGAGGGACATACAAAGCAACAAAAAAAATCAGATGGTACCCTATAAATACATTATATTAAGTGAAGTAAGCCAGGACCAAAGAAACATAGGTCCCATGGTTTCCCTTATTTGCATTAACTAGTATATATCTCGGACAAGCAGATAAGGTCAGATGATATGATGTTATGTGAAATGAACCCAAGATAGGGACACAAGGGGCTTTTTATCTTCCTTGCTATTGTTTCTAACGTATTTATAAGGTACCATACTTACAGCAATTTTAACCTAAGATTATAATGACCTAATCCAGGAAAACATTTTGCTAGTACTGTAAAATACAAGAATGAAAAATATTTTTTTGTCCACAGAGATGTTGGATAAGATGTCTTTTTTCAAAGTTCACAGGACTTTTATGCCTTTTACTTTTTTGTCTATTTATTAATTGTAAAACATCAGGTCTGGACTTATTGAGTTTAATATTAATTTTAATGTATTCGTTTATAAAGACTAGCAGAAGAATTTCAGATAACATGTTTTATAATACTTATCCTCTTAATTAAAAGTATATTTATTTTAAGTTTGTTCCTTTGTAATTAGGGCATTTTTCCTTTTTGTGTGTTTATTTTTTGTGTATATATATATATATATATATATATATATAGTAAAAAAGTTGTATAGAGGGGTTACAGTTACATAAGTAGGGTAACAATTACATTTCATAGAGAGCATTGTTACCTTCTCCTTTGTTTTCTCCCTACCTTCCCTTCCCTTCCCATCTCCCCAACTCCACCTGCGCCATCTCCCCAATATTGTAAAGTTTGTTTTCAACATAGTGTACATTACATCTCTCTATCACAATGGGTCGGACTCCATCCCCATTTAAGCATTCCCCAAAATCCCTTCCCTTCCCCAAACTACAAAAATGTATTTACAAGATGTAGAATGCATATCTTAGTGTTCATTTCCCTAACATCACCTTATCTGACCTTTTCTGCTTGACTCAGGTGGACCCATGGCAACAATGAGATGTACAAGTTGTTATGTCGAAAACTAACTTTACAAATTTGGTGGTGGTGGAGGAGAAGCGGGGAGGATTGGGAGGAGAGCAGGGGGAGGTTGGGAAGAGATGGGAAGGGGAAAAAAAGTAGGAGGATATAATGCTTGATAAGAAATGTATTCATTATCTTGCAAATGTAATTGTAACCCCTCTGTACAGGATTTTCACAAAAAAAAAGATGTAGAACACCGGCATCAAATCCATAGAGAACAGGGATTATGCTGTAGGGAAGAACATACAAAAGAAACAAAAGAATCACATAATGCATTGTAAGTATATTACAAACACTAGCAAGAAAGAAAAATCCACTTGTACCCCTGTATTGGGGTACATTTTGCTTAACATTATCTCATGTGATCATATGTACATAGCATTTGACCTTCTCTGCTTGTCCTAGACATGTACTAGTCATTGCAAACAATTACAGATATACTTATTTGGCCTTGCTCCTTTGTAATTAGGCATTTTTCTTGTTGGCATGATTGTGCACTACTTGGATGTGATGGGATATTTGGCACTAGTAAAATATTATCGGTTAGTGTTACACTTGCCATTTATCTCAAGTATGACTAGCCAGATGATTACTGAAGTTATTCAAGGAAATAGATCAAAGACAAATAACATCGTTTTATAAAATTATAGAATCAGATCTTACACATTCTTGCAGTTTTGAAAAAGTTGTTTAAAAAGTAATACTCTAAAGTCTTTCATATGGTAGAATTAGATTGTGCAATATCTGAGTAAAATACCTGGTGATTCCAGGGATTAAACGAAAATTTAAAATTATTTGTGTTAAAGGGAATCCTACTGCATTGTTGGTGGGAGTGTAAACTTGTTCAACCACTTTGGAAAACATTATGGAGGTTCCTCAAAAGACTGCACATAGAGTTTCCCCTATGACCCAGCATTCCCACTTTTAGGGATTTACCCAAACGATCATAAACAAGGCCATACTAAAGCTACCAGTACAGCTATGTTTATCGTAGCATTATGCACTATAGATATGATATTGAACCAACCTGGATGCCCCTCAGTAGATGAATGAATCAAGAAAATGTGGTATGTATATATGTATACACACACACACACACACACACACACACACACACACACACACAGTGGAATTCTAAGCCTTTTTCTATCAGACAGAATAACACTGCCCCATTTGTTAGGAAATTGAAAGACTTGGAAAAAATTATATGATGTGAAATAAGCCAGGCCCAAAGAAACATAGGTGCCAAGATTTCCTTTATCTGCAATAACTAGTGTATGTCTAGATCAAGCAGTAAAAGTCAAAAGCTATGTCCATAATACCATATAATCTGATGTTAAGTGAAATGAACCCGAAGATAGGGATACAAGAGGTTTTATCTTTCTTGTTGTTTTTATTTATTTATTTTTATTTATTGTGAAAATACCATACAGAGGGGTCACAATTACATGGGCAAGGTAATGAGTACATTTCTTATCAAGCATTATTGTCTCCTCCTTTGTTTCCCCTTACTTTCCCTTCTCATCTCCTCCTCCCCTCCTCCCACCTCGACAAAGTTGTAAAGTTCGCTTTTCTTTTCTTTTTTTTTTTTTTAATTGTGAAAAGGCCGTACAGATGGGTTACAATTACATGGGTAAGGTAATGAGTACATTTCTTATGAAGCATTGTTGCCTCCTCCTTTGTCTCCCCTTCCCATCCCTTCCTATATCTAGCCCCCTCTTTCCCGGCACCAATGTTGTAAAGTTCGGTTTTTGACATAAGGTCATGGGTCCATCGGTATCCCTTTTTAAAAAATTTGTTTTTGCCCTTCCCTTCCATAAGGTATACCAACACCAAGTACAGTGAAAACGGGTTATACCATGGGGGAGAGATATACAAAGCAACAAAGAAATATCTTACAAATATGTTAGAAACAATTCTTGCTGCTGTTTTTAATGTACTTATAATGTATAATGCTGATTTTTTTGTTTCTTTGTTATGTTCTTCCCCCATGGTATAACCTCTGTTTTCTGTATTTGATACCAGTACCCAGCATCTTATATATATATTTTTTTTAAAATTTAGGTAGGGAAAGGGAAATAACAAAATGCTGAAATAAGGATGCAGGATGACCCACTGTAATAATGAGATGTACAAGATACTATGTTGAAAATGAGCTTTACAACTTTGGGTGTGGGAGGGAGGAGTTCGGGAGGTGGGGTGAAAAGGGATGGTAGGGGGAAAAAAAAAGGATGTTTAAAAATGCTCCATAGGAAATGGACTTATTACCTTGCCCATGTAACTGTAATCCCTCTGTAAAGTATCTTTACAATAAAAAATATTTAAAAATTAAAAAAATAAAGAAAAATTATTTGTGTTCCTAATATGAAAATGTACTCATTAGGGAGTTTAGAGCAAAAGCCATGTAAATGTCACAGACTAAATGATAAATGTATTAATGTAGTAGCTCAGGATTCTATGTAATTAGCAGTATGGAGGTTCCTCAAAAGACTCCACATAGAGCTCCCCAATGACCCAGCAATCCCACTTTTGGGCATTTACCCAAATGATCACAAATAAGGCCACACTAAAGCTACCAGCACAACTATGTTTATTGCAGCATTATTTACCATAGCTAAGACATGGAACCAACCCAGATGCCCCTCAGTAGATGAATGGATCAAGAAGATGTGGTATATATACACAATGGAATTCTATGCCTCCATCAGAAAGAATGACATTTCCCCATTTGTTAGGAAATGGAAAGGCTTGGAAAAAATTATATTAAGTGAAGTAAGCCAGGCCCAAAGAAACATAGGTCCCATGGTTTCCCTTATTTGCAATATCTAGTATAGGTATGAGTCAAGCGGAAAAAGTCAGATAATGTGATGTTAGGAAAACGAAACCTCAAATATATATTTTAATGTTTTTGTTTCTTTCATGCATGTGTTTCTAACGCATTTATAAGATTATTTCTTTGTTGCTTTGTATGTCCCTCCCCCACAGTGTAACCCCTGCTTTCACTATATTTGATGTCAGTATAACATGTGGAGGAGATGGGGACAAACAAGTCATTTAAGGATTCAGGTGGACCTATTGCAACAATGAGAAGTACAAAATGTCATGTCAAAACCAGCTTTACAATGTCGGTGGGGGGTGGGGGGTGGGGGGGTATGATTGGGTGGGAGGGAGGGGGGAGGCTGGGAAGGGAGGTGAAGGGTAAACAAAGGAGGAGGCTGCAATGCTTGGTAAGAAATGTATGCATTATCCTGCCCATGTAATTGTAACCCCTCTGTACAGTATGTTCTCAAATAAAATAAAATTAAATTAAAAAAAAAATGCTCCATAGGAAATGGACTTATTACCTTGCCCATGTAACTGTAATCCCTCTGTAAAGTATCTTTACAATAAAAAAATATTTAAAAATTAAAAAAATAAAGTAAAATTATTTGTGTTCCTAATATGAAAATGTACTCATTAGGGAGTTTAGAGCAAAAGCCATGTAAATGTCACAGACTAAATGATAAATGTATTAATGTAGTAGCTCAGGATTCTATGTAATTAGAAAACACACTAATAATAGATATTGTCAAAAAATTTCACAAAAGGCTGGAATGAGACATTCCATATTAAGAGAGGCTGATAAGACATATTCCATGGGATGCTACCGTCACTACTCGTATACCATGGTCACACTTGATGAATCCAAAGGCATTTTGCCTATACTTGACGGAGTGGAAGCACTGCATACTGACATGCACTCTCTCCTCAGGAGTAATGGAAGTCTGGATTCTATACCTAGTGGGCAGGAGTCAAAGCCTTTCATGATTAGGACAAATGGACTGGACATTCCTTGCTGAAAAGGGTAGAAGACATTGGCCTCCATACAGTGGAGGCATTCACAAGTGATCTAATTTGATTACCAAAGCGGAAAGAGAAGCATTACATGCAGAGATGACCTGAAGGCAACGCAGCTCATGCAACAGACACATGAGTTGAAAAATTAAACACATTTCTTTATGGCGCAAGCTAATTCAAACACCTTGACATAGGATGACCGCTACAATATTGACAATGTTGGATGAGAAGAGATGGTTAAGTCTGGCTCCATTCTGTTTTGTTGTTTTTGTGTAGATCCTGGACTTGAATTCAGGGCCTGCAGGCTGCCCCTGAGTTAATTTTCTTGAGGCTACTGGTGCACCACTTCTAAAACAGCTCCACTTCAACCTTTGGTGGGTAACTGCAGGTAAGTCTCACTAACTTCTCTAACACTTCTCTCACTTCACTAACATGCTGGCTTGG